AACAAAAGTTGAACTTTCTCTAATTGTTTTTGGTAGCTTTTGATACAATTATTGATACATATATAATATATAACAATTATTGATACATATATAATATATAACAATTATTGATACATATATAATATATAACAATTATTGATACATATATAATATATAACAATTATTGATACATATATATATGATAAAACAATTATTGATACACATATATAAAACAAAACCATTATTGATACATGTATGAAATATGTAACAATTATTGATACATGTATAAAATATATAACAATTATTCACACATATATAAAATATATAACAATTATTGATACATATATATATATAAAATATATAACAATTATTGATACATATATATAATATAAAACAATTATTGATACATATATAAATTAATATAAAACAATTATTGATACATATATAAAATATAAAATTTAAAGAACTTTTGATTTCAGTTATTACATACACTGGGACTTCATTATAATGCTGATAATGCTTTACAGGCATTTAGTAATTTAACACAGAAATACTCATGGTGGAACTATTAGTAATTGCTTGAAAACTTTGCACGAGTTCTAATCGAAACATCGCCCAAATAAATTAGTAAGAGTTCTTTCATCCATGTTGGGAGTAATTTAATATTTTAATTAGTAATTTAATAAAGAAATACTTATGATAGAACAATTGCTAATTGCTTGCGAGTTGTATTCGAAACATCGCCCAGATAAATTAATAAGAGTTCTTTCTTCCATGTTGGGAGTACACAGATAACAGTGGGTCGCCAATAAGGTTTACTGGAGGGTTTCACTGTAACACTGTTAGTTGCTTCATAGTGAAACTTGCCTCATTGTAAACCACCTTACTGTGAAACTCTCTCTTTGTAAACCACCTTATTGTGTAACTCTCTTTGTAATCCACCTTATAGTTAAACTCAGTTCACAGTGAACACCTTATAGTGAAACTAGTCTCATTGTGAATCAACTTATAGTAAAACTCGCCTCATTGTAAACCACCTTATAGTGAAGTCCCATCCTGTATATTTTATATCACAACAGGGAAACAGATAATTTCCTTTTCCGTTATATAATATCAAAATGAACAAAACCATGACATTCAAAAACAAGTATCACATGAACACAACAAACTTAAGAGCACAAAGTAATATCAAATTACAAAAACCAATAAAATAGTGAAACACAAATTGTGAGAGAGAGAGAGAGAGAGAGAGAGAGAGGACTTTAAACCCCATTTTTCTCTCTCTCTCTCTCTCGCTCTCTCTCACTCTCTGAGAGGAAGAGGTTGTTTATATAAGCTATAAGCCATTAACTATAGCCCAATCCCATTCTCATATCCTCAACAAACATGTTGTCAGGCCCCGAGTTCACATGTAAAGCATTCTCAAACTTAAGTTAAGAATTTACTCAAAATTGTTTGCCTTATTTTAACTAAAATATAGCCCATTATAAAACTTTTGTTGTTTTAATGTATCAAATACATCAATTAGAAACTATGTATAAAAGCAATTGTGGACGCTGGACCGCTGGACGGGGCGGGGGTAACGACAATATACGACCACACTTCAATGTGGGCGTATAAAAATTGAATGGTCAGCTTTAAACTAGACACAAGTACAAATAAAACGATTTATGGTGATTTTAAACAGTTTTTAGGAATTTTTAAACAAAGATTTGATATTAAATGAATGTGAAAGAAATTGTTGCTAGATACACAAGATTAAATGATACCCGGGTTACTGTGTTAAGAGCTAAATATTTTTTTAGGTTTGCTGAACTCAATATAAAATCATGATATATACTATGTCTACTTGACTCATCTTTAGATGTGTAGGCTAATGACAGCGATGGATTGCTAGATCTTGCCTACAATTTCATTTGAACGCCCCTCAGGAACTTCAAAGTCAAATTGAAAAATTTTTTTACCGATTGCCGAGGTGATATAAAAAACAAAACAAAATAAACAAAAAACACTAGCATAATGATGAAAATTCCCAACAGTCAGAGTATTAGTAATACCTGACAAAGAGACAATGATTTATCAAAAAGTCAAGAATCAGTCCATTGACCTATTATTTAGAACCAGAAAAACTAATCACAACAGGGAGAGAGAAATTGGTTTAATTTCATTAAACACTAACTAGGTCTTTTTCTGTCTTACTTTTCTGCACCAACTGGGGTAACCAAGACGGCCATATGCCAAGTAGTGTCCTACAACATAAACATTACCCAATCTGATAAAAATATACATCTATATTTTGTGTCCAGTGGACATTAAACCACATTTCTTTATTTCTTTCTCTCTCCCTCTCTCCATATATTGATCGACAATCTGATTACAATACAGAACTATATTTCGTTTCGTTTTTTTTTATACTGTCGATGGCCAACACTACATGAAGATCTGACCGGTTGTAGTGGCATCAGAGGTCATACAAGCGGCTTTTGACCCTATGATGTCAGACAATTGGTTAACCAATTAGCGTTGATGTTTCTAGTGGGTTTACCCACAGTTCTGTGCACGTCATGCTAAAAACTTGCTTTAACAGACCGTTTCATTGACTAATCCCTCACATCATCCAGAACTTGGGTTATATAACAACTCTTCTACATCGTAGATTGAATTTTGCCTAGACAGCAGCTCTACAGCCTACTCTTATTTCAAATTTATTTATGTACACAGGACCGTGTTTCTGTTGTTCATTTTACCAGGCCCTGCAACTGGCACCACAGACAATACCAGGCCCTGCAACTGGCACCACAGACTCTGCAACTGGCACCACAGACAATATAAGGAACAAACCAGAGACGACATGGTCAGCAAGCAAGCAAGCACCTTATGTACCGAACCAATATGGATCATATATGCATAAAACAGTTACTGTAGACGTACTGAGTATACTGAACATATGCGGGCCTCATGTGAGGCAGTGCAGTTGGTGCATCGCCCCTGAGCCCATAAGTCTTGGGTTCATGAATACCAAAGTTCAAAAAATGAAATGGGCAATTCTGCATTAATTTTTTAAGCTTATTTAAGTATATACTATATGAAACAGCCGTGCAAAATTTCCATCAAAGCATGGTGAATGGTGTTTGCCCGTCTCCATTGGCTAATGAAAAGCTGTGTTATAGAAGAGTCCAACTGAATGCACTGTACAGCTTTATACTAAAATTGTGTTATAGCAGACTTCAACTGTATGCACTGTACAGTCATCCTGCTCTTACCCAACTATTTACAGTCACAAAACTGTTTCCACATTCGGTAAAGTGGGTTTGTTTCAAGTTGTTTTAAGTGCAAAAAAATATTATCAATGACAATCAAATATTCTGGCCATGAATTATCCTAACATCAAGTGGTTTTATATAAGGCATCTAGAGGGGCGTCCATATCATTTTAACACATTTTTCTACTTAAATCTATGTGATTCAAATATAAATGATGCTACTTGAAAGCAATGATGCAGTTTAAAATGGATAAAAATATCTACAAAACTAACCACACAAAAAACATCTGCCGCCAAAAATCAAAAAACTATATAAAAATAATCTAAAGATAGTTTGCCAGATAATGAATCATACACCCACAGCAGCTAAATTGTCGCATATTTATTCTTTTGTAGCTAGGTAATTGGGGGAATTTACAAGACAATTTCATACAGATCAGATTATAAATTTCGTTGTTTGAGGGTTTACAAGGTTCTACGAACTGAAATAAGGGCCTTAACTCTGGAAGTAATTAACCGAAATTGTTGAAATTCAACCGATTTTTTCTTTTTATTAATTTAAATAATGCATATAAATTTCCTACCGATCAGATGATAAATTTTGTTGTTCAAGCGTTCACAAGTTTCAACAAAGTGAAACAAGGGCCATAACTCTAGACGTAATTAACAGAAATTGTTAAAATTTAATATATGTCTTCGTTTCACTAATTTAAATGATGCATATAAATTTCATACAGATCGGATGATAACTTTTGTCGATAGAGTGTTCAGAAGATTCAACAAAGTGAAACAAGGGCCATAACTCCGGAAGAAATTATTGAAATTATAGAGGCTTCTTCATCTCACAAATGTAAACAACACATATCAATTTTAAAACAATCAGATGATAAATGTAGTCTGTAGAGTGTTCACAAGAAATTGTGGACAGACGGACGGGTGCGGGCGATGGCAATATACAACCACATTTCCATGTGGGTGTATAAAAATGAACACAAACTTTTTCTGCATATTTTTTTTCTACAGAAAGGAAAGTGCATCTGAAACCTATCATTTTTTTCTCTATTTTCTGTCTCAAATGCATCACTTTTTATAAGAGATATTTACGAAACATATTATGATCTTTGCAAATAAATCTTTATAAATTGTAATCATTAACATCTCTGGTTTTATCCTTTTTCAGGCTGGTCAGGGAGGATATCAGAGGAGATCATTCCTATATGGAAAAATCATTTATCCAGGAATTCTGGCTTTGGGTGACCTACCCTTACTAAAATATTTTCCCTAATCTTTGAAGGAATTTCCTACCTCCCTAACCCAGCTCTCAAAAAAGACACTTCCACCATTTCTTTTTACAGCTATTATTTGTTATCATTTTCTCATGCAAACTGTATTACAGTTTTGAAATGGTTAATTGTTTTAATAAATACCTTCTACTAATGAACAATTCAGGACCACTGAAAAACAGGACAAAGACAAAACAAATTAGAAAATTGCACAATTCGATACATTTTCCCAGGGAATGTTATAAAGGAAACCAAAAGATATTGATGAAGTTCTACAGAGGAAACACTGAAGATCTACAGATTCTTATTTGCATTTTCCCAAAACAATTGTCATTTATCTAAAATTATAGCATTTTTCTAAATTTATGACATTTTTCTGAAATTATGACATTTTTCTGACATTTTTTCTGAAATTATGACATTTTTCTGAAATTATGACATTTTTCTGAAATTATGACATTTTTCTGAAATTATGACAATTTTCATGGCTGAATCCATTCTAAAATGTATTTAAATTATTGTATGCTGAATGTTAAAAAGTTGTCAATTCAGATTATTTCTGTAAAATCTAAACATATTTGATGGCTGATTTGTTAGCATGTGCGTGCTGTATCAAAAGGTCTGTCACTGAGTCAACTGGCGTGGTTTTGATTCCCTGGTTGTACAGGACAAGGAGTAGGGTCGTCTGTCCAATCTCATGGGTTTTCTCTGCTGGTTTCCTCCCACGGCTAAAGATCCCTATGGGAGCAAATTACTGAAATAAAATTAATCCATGTGTTTGTCCCTACTCCTTGTCACAAAGAACTGGGGAATCGAAAACCACGCCAGTTGACTCAATGACAGACCTTACGATACAACGTGCACACGCTATCCATTCAGCCATCCAGCCCCTTCTATTATATAATCAAGGATGTAATTCAATCTTGCAGTACAGTAAGATCATGTGGAATCAAACAGGTCCTGTGGAAAGTTTAATAACATTTTTGATGCAATGATAATATGTAGTTGGATCGAATCAAATATTATATTTTACTTTTGGTTTGCAGTTTTCATGAATCAAATATTATATTCTACTTTCGGTTTGCAGTTTTCATGAATCAAATATTATATTCTACTTTCGGTTTGCAGTTTTCATGAATCAAATATTATATTCTACTTTCCGTTTGCAATTTTCACGAAAGAGATATTTAAAACATACGATGATTAGTACAACAAAACATACAACTGACAACACTGTGTTACAAAAATCTAAATAAAAGATTCATCTGCATGCTAGCAAGCTGAATCTGATTAAAATACTGATCTAAATTTTGTTTCATTTTTGTATACTTTCGGTGGCCTATTCTACATGAAGATCTGACCAGTTGTAGTTAGAGGTCGCATCAGAGGTCATAAGAGCGGCTTTTGACCCTATGACGTCAGACATTTGATTAACAAACCAACATTGATGTTTCTAGTGGGTTTCCAACAGTTCCGTGCAACTCACGCTAAAAACTCACTGGTAACAGACTGTTTCATTGGCTAATCCCTCACTTCAACCAGAACGTGGGTTATATAACAACTCTTCCAGATCCTAGTGTAGTAAAGACAAGTTAAACGAAATTTTGAACTATACAAAACGAAACGAAATAGGATCTGTGTTTTAATCAGATTTTAGCAAGCTTGGATAAAAGATTCTTCCAATCACAATGTCCCTCTCAAACTCGTGTCTTTATCAACCACAATCACACTCGGCAAACCTCAGAAGATTCCAGTACCCTACATCTAGCCTTGGCTGTATAACGAAGTCTGCCATTCGAACTACTTTCAAGTTCCCAGATTAACCAACGGCGTTGCCCATGACGACGCCTTTGAAGAATTTTTTATCATACAAAGTCTTCAAAGTCTTAATCTGTTTTTCTTTCAAGTTTATTCTATTTTCCTTAGACAAGAACAACTTTGCACTGAATATTCTACACACTCTTCGAACGACTAAACTTCTTTCTAAAAGCGGCAAGTTTCCCTAATAAGTAAACCGGTGCCGCATCACAATTGTATAGGTGTAGGTACATATCACTTACCCTCATACAGCCGAGACTATATGTAGAGTAACGGAATCTGTCGAGGTTTGCCGAGTGCCACAATCCCTCTGAAACCATCATTCTGTAAGGCACAAGTTTGTCTTAAGCCTTGCTATGTATATTCAAATGTTGGGTAAAACTTAGTTCGGAACAACTAAAATCTATCTTTCTCGTCCTGAACAACTACAGCTTGGTATTTTCTGGTTCGTACAGATTGTGTTCATTATTAGTCACCGTTTTCATCACATCATCTCCATCATTATCAATATTATACTCGTCACCTTCCACCGCACTTTGATCACGATATTTATAAAAATATGATACGATGACAAATATTATAAAATTCAAACACATCAGACCAGCTAATAGGAAAAATAAATTTTCAACTTTTCCATTGTTGATATCTTCTGGAAACCATGGATCTGAAAACAAATAATAAAAAAACATGTATATGGAGAGAGAGAGAGCGAGAGAGAGGGAGGGTTTAACTCCACTCAACACAAACTAGGTCTTATGGGACTAACACATGGTTCAATTTCATTTCAATAATACACTTGCGCATAGGGGGGTCTTTAGCAGTGGGAGGAAACCAGAGGACCCAGAGAAAACCAAAGAAGTTGGACAGGTGTCCCTACTTCTTGTCACATACAACCGGGGAATCGAAACCACGCCAGTTGACTCAATGACAGACTTTATGATACAGCGCGCACATGAAATGAACATGGAGTTTTTATATGTCCCAATCTGATTAAAATACAGATCTATATTTCGTTTCGTTTTTTATACTTTCGACAACTTCTACTACATGAAGATCTGACCAGTTCTAGTGGGAGGTCGCATCAGGGGGTCATACGAGCGTCTTTTGAGTCTATGACGTCAGACATTGATTAATCAATCAGCCTTGACAGTTGCGTGCACAGCATGCGAAGAACTCGTCATAACAGATCGTTTCATTAGCTAATTCCTCACATACAGCAGAATGCCTGTTATATAACAACTCTTCCAGATCCTAGTGTAGTAAAGACAAGTAAAAACGAAATTTTGAACTATAAAAGAACAAAACAAAATAGGATCTGTGTTTTAATGCACACCAATCTGTACACCGGTTTAGTCCCATATGTAGGATTAGGCAACCAGAACACATTATTTTGCTCTCTGTTTTTGATATCCTTTGATAAATTTGTTCTTTACCTGATTTTGTGGAGGCTTCGACAATTCTTAATATCGCTGTGGAAACGTAACTACCTAATCCACTGGCTACAAAGAATAAACCTGTTAAGAAACCCTGCATAGATTGGGGTGCCTGGGTAAAAGCAAACTCCAAACCTGAAAGAAAATACATTCATATCCCTCAGCAAACCTCGGGAGATTCCGTTACTCTACATCTAGCCTTGGCTAGATATGTACCTACGCCAATACAATTGCGATTTGGCACCAGTTTACTTATTAGGAAAACTTGCCGTTTTTAAATAGAAGGTATCAAAATTGCGTCGTTCGAAGCATGTTTAGAATTATCATTGCAAAGTTGTCCTTGTTTGAAGAAAATCAGATAAACTTGAAAGAAAAACAGCTTCAGACTTTGAAATATTTGTATGATAAAACATTCTTCAAAGGCGTCGTCATGAGCAACGCCGTTGGTAATCCGGAAATTTGAAAGTAGTTCCAATGGCAGACTTCGCCATACAGCCAGGGCTAGATGTAGGGTACTGGAATCTGCCGAGGTTTGCCGAGTGACATTCATATATTACTGTAGTACAAATCTTAAATTTCCTTGACTCTGGGAGTCACGGTGGCTAAGCGGGTAAGACGCTGGCTCGCTAGCCGAGAGGGCGAGTGATCGATTCCTACATTGGCCGAGAAAGTTTATCAAGATTTTCAAACATGATTTCCTAGGTCATTTCAGGACTAACATATTGTTCAATTTTATTTCAATAATTCGCTTGCGCATAGGAGTCTTTAGCAGTAGGAGGAAACTGGAGCACCCGGAGAAAACCCACGAGGTTGGACAGGTGACCCTACTTCTTGTCATGAACAACCGGGGAAATGAAACCACGCCACTTGACTCAATGACAGGCCATCTGATCCAATACGCACGCGCTAACCATTCGGCCATCCACCCCCTGGATCGAGACAGAGTCCTGGAACTCAAGTTCCCACCTCCTGTGACAATGATACAATGCGCACGCTAACCATTCGGCCATCCAGCCCCCCGGTTCAAGTCAGAGTCGTGCAACTCGAGTTCCCACCTCTGGTGACAAGAGTTGAGATTAGATACTGAAATCAATCCAAAACATACCTGAAACACTAGCAAATACTTCACTAGCTCCAACTAAGGCAAACTGTGGTACTTGAATGAAAACACTGAAATGAGATGAGTTGAACTTCTGGTCAGCCAGCGTCTGGATGAAACCTCCGCTTTCTTCCAGTTCCTTTTTACGATAAATCTCTACAATACCTGCTACTACTACAGACGCTGCAGCAAGTAACATACCAATTCCTGGAGAAAATAACAAAAAACATGTTTTAAAAGTATTTCCAATTACTGTAAACCAGTGATTCTCAACCAGTGTGCCGCGAGATCTTCCTAAGTGCGTGTGAAATTTTGAACTGCACACTAAGAAAATATTTCTCACTAAAGCATCCAGCTATTTGACTGATGAAATTCGAAACAGTGCAATAAAGTAAGTTCATAACTGAGTTTTTCTTTAATTAGTTTGACTCATTCTATGTGTCTATGACTAGTCTGTTTCTATGTCGTACGTAACTAACGTACAAAAATTAATTGGTGACTAGCTTTTTTTTCGCACGTATACAGTGAATGGCCATTTTGCTCAGTAATCCCAGCCAGAATTTGGCAATTTTTAAATTTGCGTTAAAGTTTAAAATATTTGTTTTAGAACTGAAACACATTAACTATTAGTCAATCCCAACGCTAAAAACATCAACAGAATTGATTGTGTATATCTGAAATAGACCCGACCGACGCACAAAATAGTGCAATATGGCGGCCTCTATGAACAACCCTCGCAGACGCTGTCATTGAAGACAACGTCAATTCTATGAGTTGTAGATGTTTTTTTGGTGAAAAATCATTGGAAGAAGAGAGAACATGTTGGGACTCTACGAATTATATAGTCTTTATGGGTGCAACAGACACAATGCTGAAGATAAACCTATTGTTTACAATGTTGACCTCATGACCCATTGACGTCAATGTCATGACCTGTGATGTATAGATCACGTGATGATATGGATATCATGGCTACTGACTGTGTCTGAGATACTTCTCAGCAGGTAGCGTGTCTCAGATGTTCAGAATGTTTCTATGTTTGTATGACTTGCCATGTTGTTATGATGCAAAATTCAAATATTTTTCATATATATTTAGCCAGGTGTGCCGCTATTTTATCATGTGTTCCAAGGTGTGCCGGTGGCAAAAAGGTTGAGAACCACTACTGTAAACAGTAATACTTCCTGATTAACGAATATGGGTGCAAGGGAGGTAACCATAATCCAAATGTTACACAGGTTTATTGTTCTCAAAACTAACTGCTAAAATATTTCTTAAACACATTTTCCAAATTAAAATTATGCCTTCTATTTACAGTAGAGGCATTTTCCCTTGTTTCCAAATTAAAGGGGGGGCCACAGTGGATAAGCGAGTAAGACGCTGGCTTGGTAGCCTGTAGGTCGTGTGTTCGATCGCAGTGTTGGCTGAGAAAGTTCATTGGGATTATGCAAGACGTGGGTCCCGTGTATATATTGCCGTGCGTGTAAAAGATCCCTTGGCAGTTGGAATTTGATGTAAGAGTAGGCTGTAGTGCTGCTGCCAGGGCAAAATTTCCAAATTAAAGTTGTTCCTTCTATTTACAGTCTTTGTGGATGCTTAATTGTCGGTCAGTAACAACTCAAATTGTCACAAATGCAATCGAGTGACGCAGAGTTCAGTCCTGACACAGTTCTGTCAACTGTGGAAGTGTGAATAGAATCGTTATGTAATTAAACACAAGGAATATGTTTCAGCTGTCATGGTTTCTTATCCAGTTGGTACATGCGTTGTAGCCCGAAATACCCCTTTTTCTCTTGATTGTCACTATTTAGGGGATTGAAAGAATTCAATTACAGAATGTTCAATCGAGTATCCCCTTTCTCTATGTCTCCCAATTCTTGTTGATTTTTGGGTCTAGAATTGAAGAAGAGGGTTTGGACTGACATGTTTAATGACTATTCATGATTTTGAGGTGAGAGGATAACAGAGTTATGATGTTGGTTATAATATTATGGACCTTTTATAGATTTGGGGATATGTTACTTCAAATGTGTGTTTGTCATTGTCAACTTCATACAAGCTTTGGAGCAAGACATTGCCAGATTTTTCTCCGACTGCTGTGGACACCTTTCTGTGCAATGAAAATTTTGGAAAAGTTAGAGCTGGGCAAAGAGATAAGAATTAACATTAAAAGGAATGGGAGAATATTTGGTGGTCTGCCTCCAGGTGATTAATTGTAGAGTTACTTTCCTTCCCTTAACCGTCCATGAATTTAAGAGAAATGTGGCTAATTGTTGGCCGCTTTATATAAATGAGTATTTTTGGAAATCCTAACCCTAACCCTTTTTAGAAGATTGAACTTGGATCTAATTTACCTTTTACCCCTTTCAAAAGGGTTAGGGTCAGGTTCCCCAAAATACTGGTAGGGTACTCATTTATATAAAGCGGCCATTGTGGAATCCGGAAATTCCCAAACCGCCCCAACTGGTCTACAATTAGCATCTCCCATTATATCCACTAAACACAAACTAGATCATTTTGGGACTAACCATTTTGTCCAGCCCAATAAAAGCAGGTTCAATTTGCAATTTGGGCTATATAGAGAGAAATGGGGTTTAACGTCCACTCAACACAAACCAGGTCATTTCGGGACTAACACATGATTCAACTTTATATCAATAATTTGCTTGCACGTATGGGTCTTTAGCAGTGGGAGGAAACCAGAGGACCCAGAGAAAACCCACGAGGTTGGACAGACGCCCCTACTCCTTGTCAAGTACAACCAGAGAATCGAAACCACGCCACTTGACTCAATGACAGGCCGTATGATACAGTGTGCTGCACATGCTAATCATTCAGCCATCCAACCCCCACCAATCAATAATATAGATAGGATGCTCAACCAGTTTCAAAAGTGTTTAACCTACCCATTCTCTGTAGATGTGTTATTGGTCGTCCAAAGGAACTAAAGAGTGGATATATGACTCTATCAACCAATGGAATCAAGAGAATAATTATTATCGTATTAAAAACATTCAACATGGCCGCTGGTATATTCTCCTTTCCTACACTTACATCCATTCTCTCTGCTTGAAGGAAAAATGTTGACTGCATCTAAAATATTATATAATTAATGTTAGGCCTATGTACAAGTAGGCTTTAAGATCTACAGAGCATGTTTTAAAGACTACTTCTCCCATCAAAAGACAACACCTAGTAACTCAAGTTTTTCTTATTTTGAGAAAACATAGGAAAACGTAAAGAATGAATATTAAACCCCAGCTTATCCATTGATTTAACTATCGAGTTACTAGGGTTTTTCTGTGGCATACTAGGCAAATGAAGGAAGTTGATAGATTGTGTCATGGTGTAACTGCTTACAAAATCAAAATATCGGAATTTCTTGTTCAACAACAGGTAGCACATACCCTAGTAACTACAAATTTTGATAAAAAAAAGTGAATTAGTAGGTTTTGAATTTTGACGGGAGACTTACCCTGTGCAGGGCCTATTTTAACGTACGTGCTTTGAAAATCTAAAATCCGTGCTCTGAAAAAAGGTGTGTATATCTTTGTGAATCTGAGTGTGTAGGGGCCTACTTGTAAAATGTGCGATCAAGCAATGAGCAAGTGCGCCATCAGCAGTCATTGTGATCATCGATCACGTCATTTGACTTGGTATCCAGTCTCATTACACAGAAACTTATTACTACTCAACTGCCTGGTGGGCTAGAAGAAAAGATCGATGGTAACAAGTTTGATGGAATTGAACTGAAGACACGTGAAAAGCGGGCCGCTCGGAAGGCTCACCTCTACGTCACTAGTGGCCAACGTGCTGTTGGTGCCATAAGAGTAGAAACGATAGAAAGTCTGGTGAACTTTCTGAACGAACGCCTATCAACTGAAAAAGGCACTAGTGATGAACCTCTAGCTATGGCGTTAAGTGCCTTTTCTCCGGATGCGTTACGCAATGGTTCTGCAAGTAATGCAGATATACAGAGAGCGTACAACTACATAGCTCGAGACTAAGACAAGGCAAAGTTCTTCAATGCCTATGGCGATGTTGTAGACTATCTTAATACCGCATGCTCTAGCTCTGGCAAATTAAAAACTCTGTCAGATGTTTTGAAAATAACTTTGTCAAATGGAGAATGGAAAGTTATCTCCATAACATTGGCCAGAATTATAGCCGCAAAACCGCATTCAATCGATGTAGAAAGACTTGTCAGTTCCTATAATCTGGTCAAAGATGACGACAGATGCAGTCTAAACAGCAAAACTGTAGATGCATATTTGAATGTACGTGTAAACATGCCAGTTCTTGCAAATTTTGATGTTCGACCGGCTGTGCGAGCGTGGATGAATGCGAAGGACCGCCGCGAAAGACCCACAGGTAAAGCTACTAACCAAGCATGGTTCACTGGTTGTTTCAAGGACGCAAGCTAGGTTACCGCCCATTTCCATTATGCGATATAACAGTGTGTTTTTATCCCTATCAGAAGAATCGACTTTGGACTTTTCTTTGAACATCCGATGCCCTGACAAGCGGTCGAATATACATAAATCTGTCAGTCAATTCTTTGGTATTAAAAGTGTAAGTAGTGTGATAATAATTCTGGAAGTTATTGGTTTACTTCTGGTGAGTTTTATCCGATTGTTTTGTTCATAGTTCATGATCTGTTTGGTCACAATTTCTGAAAGCTAAGGAGCTACATTGAACTGATCACTTTCTTCTCAGAAATGGTGTTTCCGGCGTTCTCTGGCGGTCGAATTTTGGAGCCGGGGGGAGCGAACCCACCCGGACCCCCCCCCCCCAAAAATAAGCATTGACACGGAGACCGTGCTTCGTCAAATAATCCTTAAAATAGGCCCTGACCCTGTGCCAGCCCTGACTTCATGGTAAGAAATGAAATAAAATCAACTTAAACTTTTGTACACTTGTCTGCAATATCACTCCTGTGGAAACAGACGTTAAAACGCCATGCAGCTACAAGTCTGGGGGCTAATGAAGATGGACGATGATCATGGAGTGTGTCATGAGGGAAATTTTTGACCACAAAACAATCCTACGACCTACTCCTATTTTGCCTTACAGGGGGTCTTTAAAAGTACACAGAGGCCCTTGAACTGTTTACCCATCCCATCACTTAGACGCTTGCCAGGCCCTTCATCCTACAGCACGAACAAAAGGATACCATGCTGAAATATCCCAGGGACTTTCTCGGCAAGAAATGAATTGAACCCAGCAGGACCTTCTGGTTATAGTGAGCCAGTGTCATACTCAATAAAGTGGTGGACACAATAGCATAATCATTGGAATGAATCAATCGGCGCCGATTTGCAGCCGAATTCATTCAACCAAATGAGTGGACACACTAGGCGAATTCTCGGCCAGATTCACCAGTCGATTGCATCTCCTTTCCCGTCCCATTATTAAACATGTCTTCAGACATCATGTGACATCTTAAAATCAGTGGTGATTGGCTAATGAATTATACAATGCTTTGGTGAACCTGACTGACTAGGCCAGTGATTCTCAACCCGTGTGCCGCGAAATTTTGAACGGCATACTAAAAAAATGCGAAATATCACGTGATCCCAATTGAGTATTCACTGGTGTCTACTGGTAAGTTCATAGCTGTGTTTTTCTTTATTTGGGTTGAGTCATTCTATGTGTCTATGGTTGTATGTCGTCTACAACTTGCCATGTTTTTATTTTGCAAAATTCAAATATTTTTCATATATATTTAGCCATGTGTGCCGCTAATTTTTCATGAGTTCCAAGGTGTGCCGTCGGCAAAAAAGGTTGAGAACCACTGGATTAGGCAAATATATCAAACATGTTTGATTCGGGCGAATGCAAATTCAGTCGAATGACACTTGACACACTAGGCAAATTTCATAGGTGATTAATTCGGCTAGCGTGTCCACCACTTAAGCCACCTAGGCTCCCAAATAGCTGTATGAAATAAACAAAGGAATTTACTTAAGACAGCCGCCAAGAAATAAATAAATTCAAGACATATTAAACTGACCTGTGAATAAATGGCCCAGTAAATTATAATTAAAGCAAATATTGGTACCACTCTTAACACACAGATGATGCCATCTACTGTATAATCACTGAATGTTCCACCATACTTTTGTCGAGACGAATCAAAAAACTTCTTTTCACCATTCACGTACGGAGACTCCTTTTTACAACTCTGTCGACAGACGTTAAATACTGTTGTCAAAACACTTCCTGGAGTTGAAAAACAATGATATACCCTTTAAATGAAATGGGATTTAACGTCCTAGTGTTCTGCTCCGACTGGGCTAATGAAGACGGGCATACGCCATACAGTGTGCTTTGAGCAAAATTTTGCCCAAGCAGAGGCACTATGATCTACTCTTATATCGAACTCCAATTGCCAAGGGATCTTTTATGTGCACGCAATGTATACACAGGTCCCTTGTTTTTCGTACCATCCGAACATCTAGACAGGTGTCCTTGTCAGGCCCTCTGTGCTGCACCACTGACAAGGGGAAACCATGCCGTAAAATTCCACTAAGCCACCATGGCTCTTTGTGATATGGCTAATGAAGATGGCCATACGCCATACAGTGAGCTATGAGGGACATTTTGACCAGACAGTAGCGCTAAGGCTTACTCTTCGAATTCCAACTGCTAAGGGATCTTTTACGTGCACATAACCTACTGGCGCCTCAGATTTTCCTATCATCCAAACAACCAGATGCTCACCTTTTCAGGCCCTCCTGAAACCAGGCTGGAAAATCCCAGGCTGGAAATTCCCAGACTGGAAAATCCTGTGGAACTTTCTCGACCAACACTGAGATCGAACCCTAGACCTTCTGGTTAGTAAGACAGCGCTTTACTCACCACTGAGCCACTGTGGCTCCTGGCAATGAATAAAAAAATATGTAATATGCTGACCTGTTGGAGGGGTGTTGATGTATTTACTTCTAAAAGACAGAAATATTATTAAAGCTAAAATCATGGATACTAGTGGAATGAAGAAACCCCAGGCAAAGCTGATGTTCTGTTGTACATAGGCCACAGCAGTATAGGCGATCATAGCACCTGCATTAATAAACCAGTAAAACCTACAAATAAATCAAAAAAACTTTAGTAATAATAATAACAAGCCAACAGTGAGGCTGATGTCCCCCGCCGAAATCCCCAAATAAATAGATGACACATATTAATTAATCGCACATCTATTTTTTTCAAAAGTATCAAGCAATCAAACTGATTATCAACTATACACTAAGTTTCATCACTCTCTATCAGATAGAATCAAAGTTATCTTGTCCCAAAGCATCGACCAAGGAAATTTCTTATCTCTGCTTAGCTTTAGCTCAATATGTTAATCATTGAACTCAGTCAAGACGAACATCTATATCAAGTTTAAACATTCTACCTCAATTAGAAGCAGGGTTGTTATGTTCCAAAGTCTTGACCAATCAAAATGCTTATTGCTCCTTAGCCTAAGCAGAAAATTCTCATCATCGAACTTAGTCAAGGTATTGATGTAATGAAACTCTACACTCTCACTTAATTAGAACTAAAGTTATTGTGTCCCAAAGCATCAACCAATCAAAATCGAACTTAGTCAAGGTATTGATGTAATGAAACTCTACACTCTCACTTAATTAGAACTAAAGTTATTGTGTCCCAAAGCATCAACCAATCAAATTGCTTATCTCTGCTTACCCTAGGCAGAAAATGCTCATCTTCGCACTCCATCAAGGCATTGGCCTCATAAACACCTACACCAATTTTAAACATTCTAGCTCAATTAGAAGGAGGGTTATTGTGTCCTAAAATCTCGACCAATCAAATTGCTTACCACTCTGCTTACCCTGAGCAGAAAATGCTCTTTATCGAACTTAGTCAAGGTATTGATGTGATGTAATGAAACTATACACCAAGTTTCATCACTCTCACTTAATTAGAACTAAAGTTATCGTGTCCCAAAGCATCAACCAATCAAATTGCTTATATCTGCTAAGCAGAAAATGCTCATCTTCGAACTCCATCAAGGCATTGACCTAATAAACACCTACACCAAGTTTGAACATTCTAGGTCAATTAGAAGGAGAGTTATTGTGTCCCAAAAAGTGTGACGGACAGACAGACGGACGGACAGCGTCGACAGACAGACAGACGAACGAACCCATTTTAATAGTCCTCTGCTTTCTTCGAAAGGCGGGGGACAATAATAATATTTATTTCTTATTATATGCAATACATCATAAAAACAATCTCAATGCGTAGTACAAAAACATATATGACATGAAATCATATAATGACATAAAAAAAAAACATATAATATGAAATAAAAACATATATGACATAAAAATATATTAAAACATATAAAATGACATAAAAACATATAATATGACAAAAAATATAAAAGTAAAAAATAGTAGGCTATCACAAGCTGGGTTATTTCGAGATGAAATATGGTTCAATTTTATTTCAATAATTTGCTTGCACGTATGGGTCATTAGCAGTGGGAGGAAACCTGAGGACCCGGAGAAAACTAACGATGTTGGTCAGACGACCCTACTCCTTGTCACATACAAGCTGGGAATCGAAACTATGCCAGTTGACTCAATGGCAGACCTTATGATACAACACACACATTCTAACCATTCGGCCATCCAATCCCGCTCTGGCACATACAGCTCACTTAGTACATGTACTACAACTTTTGTTAATACGATTTTGACCTCCCTTGACCAGATCAGGGGAAAACTTTGCAGCCATTTAACCATTTCAGCATGTGATAATATTGACTCAAAGCTTACCACTAGTAGGAGAAAATCAATTCTTACCAGTTGAAGAATGACTGAACTGCACTTTCTCCCATATCTTCCACCTGCTGAGCTCCGAATGGTCCAACATTAGCTTTTATACCCCCAGTTCCGATACCAACAAAACATAACCCCAGTATAAAATAAGTTCTCCTCGCTTGCTGTAAGAAAATAAATATATACTGAGCGCCATGGAAAACGCATCACTTAGTTTTTCGTATAACAAAATGATCTTGTAAACATATCTTATTTATTTTGCTTCTTATTGTGAACAATATTTAAATGGGAACACATCAATAACAACACATTTGTACACTTATGGATGTTTAATCTGTAATCAACGGTACAAAGTCAGAGGGGTCAAAACCAAAAGTACGACACAGATGTCAGTAGCGCGTGTGTCCTCCACGGGCTCTTACGCACGCTGTGCAGCGACGTCGCATGGAATTTACCAATGTTTGAAAGAAGGCCTGGGGCAAATTGTTCCATTCTTGGACAAGAGCGTCCAATCTCATCCCAGACATGTTCTATCGGTGCCATGTCTGAGACATGGCTGGCCAGTCCAAGACATTGATGTTGTTAGCAGCCAGGTAGTCCATACTAAAACGGGCGGTATGGGGACGTGCATTATCCTGTTGGAAGTGCTGAAGTTGTGGGTGCGCTCAAAACATCGGAACAACAATTGGTTGCAGGACATCATCATGGTAGGCTACAGCATTAACGCGACCCCTGCAAATGTGTAGGGGGGTCCGGTGATGAAATGTGAAGCCTCCCCACACGTTGACTGCCATCAGCGTGATAAAGATGAAAGCGACTCTCATCACTGAAGAGCACACTTTACCAGTCTACTCTTCTCCATGTTTGGTGTCCTTGAGCCCATATCAAACGCCGCTGACGGTGATGATCCCTGAGGGTAGCTCCAACATAAGGTCATCGTGCACGGAGTCCTACTTCTCTTAGACAACGTCTTACGGTGTTGGCACTTACTGATCCTTGTCGTCTGACGATTGCTGCACCTGTTCGAGTGGCTGGGCGGAATCTGTCACCCAGATGAGTGACCCGGATGTAACGGTCTTGAGCCTGGGTTGTAACGCGTTGTGGACCAGGATGTTGACGGTCACGTGTTGATCCAGTAACTCGAACACGTTCCACCAACCTTACAATAGTGGACTGATGACAATTGAAGTATCCGACAATAGCACGTGTAGACATGCCAGCCCTGGACATTCCCATGGCTTCATTCCGTTGATTTTCAGTAAGTCTTGGCATCTCTAGCTCGATTCCTTCACACGTCCAACAACAAATTACTACAGATTGACGTTTCACAGTTCATGTACTGCACATTAAGTTGAAAATATGCTTTTAAAGGGCTCACACACAATGCTGCACGTGAATATTGGGTTTTACATGTGCATCTTGTGCAATTTTTTTTTTTGCACACAGGCCGATATTTTTTGCGTTTGGGAGCATTGTGTGAAACAATAGTTCATAGTATTGCATAATATTATACATACAAAACCACCTAGTAATAAAATATTTGGGAAAACAAAGTGATGCGTTTTCCATGGCGCTCAGTATACATAAAATATGCTTTCCAGTATAACATACACATATACACAAATGAAGGAAGTTTCAGCTTCTGACATTTTGGCCACAGAGGTTTTTAACTTAAATGAAATGGAATTAACATTCTACTGTTCTACACTGTCTGGGGTAATAATTACATTACATTATTAGGGGACAGCATACAATAAATGAAATGAATTGAAAGGGGGTTTAACGTCCTACTGTCTCCTCCGAGGTAACGTGTATACATTGGCGTGTACATAAAAGATCCCTCGACATTTGGAATTTGATATAAGAGTAGGCCATAGCGCTGCTAACCGGGCAAAATTTCCCTCATAGCACACTGTATGGCGTATGCCCGTCTTCATTAGTCCAATCGAAGCAGAACAGTAGGACGTTAAACCCCATTTCATTTCATTTCATTTAGATTTGCTGTAGTTAGATTATAATTACCAGTGGTTTAAGAGAGAAAATGGAATGTAATTTATAAATATTAACAAATTGGCCACAAGTTCACAAAGCATTCTCAGACTTAAGTTTAAGAATTTACTCAAAATTGTTCACCTTATTTTAATTAAAATATAGCCCTTTATAGAACTTTTGTTGCTTTAATGTATCAAATACATCAATAAGAAACTATGTGCAAAGTTTTGTGTTTCTGGATCAAAGATATTTCTCATAAACGGTGGTTGAAAGTTGAGTAATTCGTAACTTAAGTCTGAGAATGCTTTGTGAACTCGGGGCCTGGTGTTTTATTTTTATCAGGTCATAGAATACTGATCTTCCATCGAGTCTACATGTACATGACTTACCACAGTTAGATCAAAACTTCCACCATCATCATCCGTGCCAAATATGGCCGTATAGTCAACAGCAGATGCAGGGATTAAGAATAAACCTTGAATAATTAAATTAAAATCAATCTATACTAATATTTGTGACTGTCGTTTGTCTGTCTGCTTGTCTGTCTGTCCCGAGTCTGAAATTTGGGGTATAGGGGTAGCTCGGACTGGGGAGTAACATAGGCCAGGTGGCGTTGGTAAACCACTTCCGGGCATTCTTCTAGTAAAACATAAAATATTCAAATGAACCAAACACAAACAACAGTCCTACTATTCTGCTCCGAACTAGGCTATTGAAGACGGGCATACGCCATACAGTGTTATATATGAGGGAAATTTTGCCCGGACAGCGGCACTACGGCCTACTCTTATATCCAATTCCAACTTTCAAGGGAATATTTATTGAATTAAGTGAATAGAAGACATGTCTTTAAATGACATCTAAAATATACGTCTTCTCGTTATATCAGCACATGGCATTTCTTCATTTCGTTGTGAATTTTCTGGTAGTTCTAATTTTTACAGAAGAATAAAAAAAAAATATGCGGGAAATAAAGGAATCCTGATCATCAAGTCGCATTATCTCTAATTTTTTTGGGCGTTCGTCTTTCGCCGTTGAACCACAGACACTGGGGACAATGGTGACATTTGAATGTGGTTGTATAATAATGTATTGCTTTGGTTGTATTTTTACACATCAAACATCTGTTATCCACCTAACAAATTAAAATACAGATATATATTTCGTTGGCCTCTACTACCGGTTGTAGTGGGAGGTCGCATCAGGGGTCATAGGAGCTGCTTTTGACCTTATGACGTCAGACATTTGATTATCCAATCAGCGTTGATGTTTTTAGTAGGATACCCAGAGTTTTGTGTAACTCACGCCAAAAACTCGCCAAAACACACCATTTCATTGACTAATACTTCCCATCATCCAGAACATGGGTTATATAACAACTCTTCCAGATCTTAGTGTAGTAAAGACAAGTAAATCGAAATTTTCAACAATACAAAACCAAACGAAATAGGATCTGTGTTTTAATCAGATTGGTTACCTTGGTTACCTACCTAACAGATAAATTAATCCTGATCCAAATATCGTATTAAATCTTCCTGCTAAGGAATCAGCAACATATCCTCCTACGATTGGAATTAAATATACAGATCCTGAAAAAAAAATAAAGAAAAATAATAATTTAAAAGGGAGATAGAGAAATGGGGTTTAACGTCCACTCGACACAAACTAGGTCATTTCAGGACTAACATATGGTTCAATTTTATTTCAATAATTCGATTGCACATAGGGATCTTTAGCAGTGGGAGGAACCCGGTGAAGCCACAAGGTTGGACAGGCAATTCTACTTCTTGTCATGTACAACCGGGGAATCGAAACCATGCCAGTTGACTCAATGACAGACCCTATGATACTACATGTAAGTGCACCCCCTAACCATTCAGCCATCCAACCCCTCCTGTTTCACAGGGGAATTACGAAAATCTTCTAATAACTCTGTAAAACATGATTCCTTTCCACATTTGACTTTAAATCATGTGGCATCAATCATTGGCTCAATGGCGCATGCATTGTTTACCTAAGACGTTACTGGTCTGGGCAGAATGGTGTCTTTTACTCATTTAACTAACCGATTTACACTAAATAGGAAATATTGTTTACCTACATATAATTCAAACACCTTTATTTATTTTTGTAATGCTTAAAAAAAAAATGTTCTCGAATTTTTTTTGCAGAAGCAAAAAATATTAATATGGGGGGCTCATTAAGCCGCATCGATGTCATCCCTATCAACGGACCAGCGAATAATCACTGCTGATCAGCATGGCTTGTTGTAGGGCAATAAGGTTGACCCTCGTGGGTTTCCTCCCACTGCTAAAGACCCCTAAGGGCAAGAGATCATCGAAATAAAATTGAATCATAGGTTTGTCGCAAAATGACGTAGTTTGTGTGTGTCAAGTGGACATTAAACCCCATTTCTTTCCCTCTCTTTAAGCCATAAGATCACCATGACCAACGTTTTATCAAAATGACCTAATTTAAATTTATGTTATCTTTTTATAAGAACTTTATCAAATAAATATAAATCATGGCAACTAAATCATCAACCTGAATTTATCCCAGACTTTGAAGATGATAAGATTTGACATTTCAATACTTTAAAATGTTAATATGGATCCCTCTACTCGGTCATTTAAAAATATCAATCTCTGTATGACTCCATATACCTGTATATTATTTATATTAATTAATGGTCTATTTCATTTCCTGGTATGAATCATGCATGCTTTTTTTACCAAAAATGGTGTTCATATTTACCTAACATCAACAAAATTATAACATTTGAAAAAGAGAGAAAAATGGGGTTTTACATCCACTCGACACAAGCTAGGTCATTTCGGGACTAATATATGGTTCAATCTTATTCCAATAATTCACTTGTGCGTAGGGGTCTTAAGCAGTGAGAGGAAACCGGAGGACCCGGAAAAACACATGAGGTTGAACAGGTGACCCTATTACTTGTCACGTACAACCGGGGATTCGAAACCATGCCAGTTGACTCAATGATAGATCTTATGATTCAATGAGCATGTGCTAACCATTCGGCTATCCAATTTTTTAAGAAAGTCAAAACATAATTATTTTTACGTCTTTTGCTCAATAGGTTATCAACTCACTATTATACGATCATGGGCATTATTTCCCACACTTAAAAATCACTGACACAGGAAATAATGACACAAGTACCTCCCTTGTTTTCCTATTACCTCCATGGAATAGCTATGTTCAAACGTTTGAATATGAAGCCGAAAATGATATTTTTGCCAATTTCTCAGCTGGCAATAGTCAAATTATAGGATTAACAAGATTATTCTTTAACAAGGTAGGACTGTTTATGGACACCATCTATTTTAAGGCTTTATTTTAATAAATTTTAAAAATAAAACTTAAAATATTAAATTGTAGCTTTAAAGAACACGCCAAATATCATCAAATAATTCACTTAAAATAGAGCACATCTTTATCTTTATGATGCAACAATGTATACCACCGGTAACCCCACTGTTTGAATTAAAAAGATAGGTTGCCAATCAATGAAACTTAAACGCTCATAGCAATTTAGCCTTCTGGGAGTCCACAAATGTTGTCGCATTAAAGATACATTATGGGAGATTAGATAAAGAACTGGCAGTTCTCACTATAATAGTTAACAACTAGATAATGTAAAGGGAATTTGTTTGTAAAGGAAACATATTGCTTCATTAGCCTGGCTGGTGTAAAAAAATAGGATTGAAATCCCATTATAATTCATTTTACAGAAAGAATCAGTTAAAGGATTTCAATTCATCTTACAGAATGAATCAGTTACAGGATTTCAATTTATCCAGTTAAAGGATTTCAATTCATCCTACAGAAAGAACCAGTTACAGGATTTCAATTCATCCTACAGAAAGAATCAGTAACAGGATTTCAATTCATCCTACAGAAAGAATCAGTTACAGGATTTCAATTCATCCTACAGAAAGAATCAGTTACGGGATTTCAATTTATCCAGTTAAAGGATTTCAATTCATCCTACAGAAAGAACCAGTTACAGGATTTCAATTCATCCTACAGAAAGAATCAGTAACAGGATTTCAATTCATCCTACAGAAAGAATCAGTTACAGGATTTCAATTCATCCTACAGAAAGAATCACTTAAAGAATGCAGATACAATTTTGACAGAATGTGAATATATAACAGATTTGCAATAATTAATAGTAGGCCTACTATATACATCTCAATCAGACCTCAGATTGTGTAAATGTACTTGTCACCATACTTGTTATCAGATAACGTTTAAATGAAAAAGGTAATACTGGTAGGATTACAAATATTTACGTTCATAGTGTTGTCAATCACATGTCAATACACTGATAAATAAATTCATCTGTTTCTTTAGAAAGTAGGTCTTTTATTCACGCGTTGGCTTGGGGTTGGACATTGGGGGTGGGGGCTGGGTACTGCAGGGAATTAACAATGAAAATGTGTCGAGTCATGGCATCTGAGAGAGAGATAGAGAAAAATGGGGTTTAATGTCCACTCGACACAATCTAGGTCATTTCGGGACTAACATATGGTTTAATTTCATTTCAATAATTCGCTTGCGTGTAGGGATCTTTAGCAGCGGGATGAGGCTGAAGGACCCGGAGAAAACTCATGAGGTTGGACAGGCGACCATACTCCTTGTCACGTACAACCGGGGAATAGAAACCACACCAGTTGACTCAATGACAGACCTTATGATACAACGCACATGTGCTACTTATTCGGCCATCCAAACCCCCATGTGGAGATAACTGAAAACAATGTTTGTAATAAAATGAAATGGGGTTTTAAATACACACAGGCATAAACCTTTACTTCCAAATTAGCAAAATATTGGGAAAATCAGAAAATATATTTCATTTGACAATGCTCTTGTCATGCCTCTTGTCATAATAATTCTAATGGCCATTCTTGTTGAGATAAACTTTTAGACAATTACAGAACAGTAGTTAAACTTAGTGCTGGATTAAGATGCTGACCACACCCCCATCCCCCTGCTCTGCTTCGACTGTGCTAATAAAGATGAGCATACACCATACAGTGTGCTATGATAGAAATGAAATTTTGGCAGAACAGCCTACTCTGTTAAGGGATCTTTTACGTACGTGCATGATAATGTGTACATGGGACCAAGGTTTTTCGTCCAGTCTGATCGACTATATGTTGTCCCTTACCAGGTCCTCTGTCCTGCACCACTGACAAGTGGAAACCATGTCGGAAAATCCTGATGAACTTTCTCTGCTCTCGCAGGGATCATCAAACACAACGGACCTCCAGGTTAGCGAGCAAACGTCTTACCCACTTAGCCACCATGGCTCCTCCCCCATTTGGATGGAATGGAAAACTGCAATGATTATCCCCCAAAAGCTTCATTTACCACCAATAAAGATATGCATAAAATGGAGATGATTACTTATTTCACAATATGATTAAAATACAGATCTATATTTCGTTTCAATTTTTTATACTTTCGATGGCCTACACTACATGAAGATCTGACCAGTTGTAGTGGGTGGTCGCATCATATGAGCGGCTTTTAACCTACGATGTCAGACATTGATTAATCAATCAGCGTTGACGTTTCTAGTGTGTTGACCGCATGCCAAGAACTCGTCGTAACAAATGGTTTCATTGGCTAATCCTTCGCGTCATCCAGAATGTGCATTATATAACAACTCTTCCAGATCCTAGTGTAGTAAAGACAAGTAAAATGAAATTTTGAACTATTATAAACGAAACGAAATAGGATCTGTGTTTTAATCAGATTACTCATTTTATGAATATTACCTGAAAAGATGAGACTAATAGTTGCAGCATCGGGATCAGAATAATCCAAAACACTGGTACAAAATAACACCATATTAGCCGATATACTGTAGAAAGTTAAACGTTCGCATAATTCTGTCATCAAAATACTCAAAACAACTATAATATGAGCAGCCCGACTCCGTTGAGGAGCCACAGGTTTCAATTCCTCATTTGGTAAAGTCTTCTCGTTGTCAAAAACACCGTCACCAAAAGTTTCATATCCTAAATTGTCCTTTCCAGACTCCATAACTCCTGATTCTCTGCTGTTGTACGTGTGACTGTGTGGGGCTGATAACAGGGGTTGTCGTTCGTCGGTGGATAACTGACGAGACATCCTGTTTTTGTGGTTTGATATATACCTGTAATCAAATAAAACAAACAATATACAACCAATCGCATGATTTGTTATCTGTTGATGGATGGATAACAAACAGTATACGACCAATCATATGATTTGTTATCTGTTGATGGATGGATAATAGTTGATCTACCGGGAGGTAAGTCAATCTTTGATAAGTTTTACTTACTTTTATCAGATTTAAAGAAACAGTATTCAACATAAAAAGAGAGAGAGAGAGAGAGAGAGAGAGAGATGGGGTTTAACATCCACTAGACACAATCTAGGTCATTTCGGGACTAACATATGGTTCGATTTTATTTCAATAGGGGTCTTTAGCAGTGGGAGGAAACCGGAAGACCTGGAGAAACCCACAAGGTTGGACAGGTGACCCTAGTCCTTGTCACGTACAACTGGGGTATCAAAACCACCCCAGTTGACTCAATGACAGACCTTACGATAGAGCGCACACACGCTAACCATTCGGCCATCCAACACTCCACATCGGATAAACCCAAGTCAATATATATATATTACATAATATTTAGACTTAATTGATTGGTGGATGCTTGTCGGTTAACACCAACTGATTGAAGGCCAGATTATCCAATGTTAATTGTACGCAAATTGTCTGACGGGACCGCTGATTGATGTCATAATTTGGAATATTCAGAATCCGGATTACTTAAAACTTTTTTGGTTGAAGTAATAAGTAAATAAATCGGGACATGAAAATGATGACAGATTTCACAGAATGCTGTAGTATTCAGATGTCAGAAGTGACAGGGTCCACAGTATTATATACTCTTCAAAAAAAGTAGGGGATATTCAGAAACAATACAAAACTGCGGAAATGCACTGCTGTTTTTATTAGAGGTAACCTGTGTATGTTAATAATTGCCTACACATGAACATAAACAGTTCATATGGGCGGCTTATCTGACGGCCCCATTTCACTCGCAAAGAGACACACCATCAAAAGTGAAAATGGACGTTTTTGATTTTTGTCTTAATAATGAGTAATTGCTCCACAAATCCTCAAACCTTCGTCGTGGCATGCTCCTGATAAACCGTCTAATCATGATTTGGGGCAATCTAACCCACTCCTCTTGCAGTGCCACAGTTAATTCGGTTGACGTCGACGAACAAGTCCCCGGATCAAATTAAATGTAACACACTAAAGCAAAGACACACTAAACAGTAAATCTTATGCAGGAACCGATAGGAAAGCAAACATGGATAGATAAACCAGCATGCGGCAGTTTTCATCAACCCTTCCTTGAAGTGTCAAATTTGACAATGAACCCCTCCCACGTGTATGCCGCTATTGTGTATCGCATATGCAGCTCAGTGGTTCTGTTGGGGCGACAAGTTCTTCATCTGTGAACATACTCTCAAAGCATGTCAAATGTCCAGGACTTTTTATCATATCACAACCTGCATAGGTATTTGCATTTCAATATCCCCTACTTTTCTTGAAGAGTATATTTAGACCTAATTGAAGGAGGTTTTATAGTCCCTTTAAACATTTACGTCATTTATTTTAAATAACAGCAGCAGTAAAGGACGACTCAGCAATACACAAGGGGTTCATACAGAAGATGTTGTATCTCATCTCACATTTATTTTAAATATCATGATATAATTGTCTCTAAAAGATGCAGTAGTATCGTTGGTTAACTTCATATTGTCTCTTTAAAAATTATACTTTAATAATATAACCTATTTCTTACTTCTTACTTGGAGATGAAAAAATTTAGGACTACTTATTAATATTGTAAACTTCGGGTTAATGTAGATCATCTGAGGTGACTGTATTATTATCAACAAGGGGGGGGGGGCAAATATTCCTTTATCTTTAGTACCGCTAAATAATATATATTTTTTTTTTAAAACTGAAGATGTATTTCTTTAACAGTCACTAAGAAAACATATTAAAAATACTCAAAAAGACATATTTATAGTTTCACAATAAATTGTTTCATATTACAATATTTGTCAATGAAAGCTTTTTTTGGCAATTTGCACATTCTATATATCCATGGAACAACATCTTATTCAATCTGGTTAAAACACAGATCCTATTTCGTTTTGTTTTTTATTGTTCAAAATTTTGTTTTACTTGTCTTTACTACACTAGGATCTGGAAGAGTTGTTATATTACTGGTGTTTTGGTTGAAGTGAGGAATTAGCCAATGAAACAATGCAGGGAACTGTGGGTAAACCACTAGAAACGTTAACGCTGATTGATTAATCACTGTCTGACATCAAAGGGTCAAAAGCTGCTCGTACGACCCCTGATCCAACCTTCCACTACAACCGGTCAGATTTTCATGTATTGTAGACCGTCCAAAGTATAAAAAATGAAACGATATATAGATCTGTATTGTAACCAGATTGCATCTTATTAGTAGACTGTCAAGGGGAGAGTGAGAAATGGGGTTTAACGTCCATGCGACACAAACTAGGTCATTTCGGGTCTAACATACAGTTAAATTTTATTTTAATAATTCGCTAGCGCGTAGGGGTCTTTAGCAGTGGGAGGAAACCAGATAACCAGGGGAAAACCCACGAGGTTGGACAGACGACCCTACTCGTCGTCACGTTCAAGTGGGGAATGGAAACCACGCCTCTTGACTCAGTGACAGACCTAATTTGATTTAATGTGCACACGTTAAACCATTTGGCCATCCCCCCCCCCCATCCCTTCCCTGTCAACATAAGGCATTTTGTTATGTTGGAATAGAAGTGAATGTAAAAAGACCATGTAATTCAAAATATACAGAAAAACTTAAATCAATAATCCATGCTGTATATCCAGTATAATTTTAATTTAAATCATTTGCAAGGGACAATGTGGAAACATTTTTCAAATTACTGATCATTTAGGAGAAAAAGTACTACAAGGTACTGTAAGGGTGGGGAAAGGGTAGACCAAATCATCCAGCTTCTTATATATCGCATACTAGACACAGAATGGCAGTATATAAATGTGACCTGTAGTACAAGGTACCTTGAGGGTGGGGAAAGGGTGACCAAATCATCCAGCTTCTTATATGTCACATACTAGACACAGAATGGTCGTATATAAATGTGACCTGTGCTGGCAAAATGAGTCAGGAATGTGCAAAATGAGCTACAGACAAAACAAGTGAAAACATTAATTTTGATCGAAATTGAGATTTTCTCAAAGAATGAGTCTATAACTGTTAGTCCTGAAATGACCTAGTTTGTGTCGAGTTGACATTAAACCCCATTTTCCTCTGTCTAGATTTTAACGATTTTTGATTTGATTGGTTGACACGCAACTCATCAAATAATATACGTTAAAACCAACGTAGCCGTATTTAAATGTATTTTTTTCAGCAAACCCCAGAGAGATTTATGCATACTTTTAGTACTTTTGTTTATTGTGAATCGGATGGGATAAAAAAGATTGAGGTCCTGTGTATACATTGGCATACACGTAAAAGATCCCTTGGAAGTTGGAATTGGATATACAATAATATAAAGCCATAGTGCCGCTCCCCGTGCAAAATTTCTCTCATAGCACACTGTATGGCGTTGGTCCATATAGCTCAGTCAGAACAGAACAGTGGGACCTTAAACCCCATTTCATTTCACTTATATATACTTAGAAATGGTTCCACTACTGATGTTTTCTCCGCCTTACTCCAGCCACAGTAGTGGCTCATCCTACTGAGTTCCTTTGCGCTTTGCGCAAGATTTTTTTAGTCAAATGACTACAAAAAGTTTACTAGCTTATAGTCCCCTTAATTTACACATAAACTGACCCCAAGCTGTACTGTACATAGCTTAACATATAACAAACCAATTCCCATTGAAATAAAGGTGGAGTCTTACCGCATAATGATGAAACCCAACTGTTACGAGAAATTTGGCAAGATTTCGCCTGGCTGGTGTCATGGCGGCTTGCATTAACAGAAATGTCGCTTTGAAAATGTAGAACGCATAATTACCACAAAGAAAAACTGTTCAATAACTATTTTAGTGGTCCAGTCTTCACTATTTGTGACAGAATTACTTATTTCAATACAAACTGTAATGATATGTGTTGACAATTGTGCGTTTGAACCTATTTGTACTTGCGTAAGGAGTCTTAGACTGTATCAATTGTAGCGTTAAATCCAATGTAGTTTAACAGTACAACATTTGTAGCTAATATACTCTGTATGCTTTCCTCTAATAATGTAATAGAATTATTTTCTCTTCTATGTCCCAGCAGTATATTGAAATAACATGTCAGATGCAAATTATTTTATTTACCTAAAACAAAAGGGCGTTGGTTGGCCGAATGGTTAGCGAGTGAGCGTTGTATCATAAGGTCTGTCATTGAGTCAACTGGTGTGATTTCTATTCACTGGTTGTATGTGACAAGAGTAGGGTTAGGGTTAGGGTAGGTTGGTTGGGTTGGTTGGTTGTCCCACCTCGTTGGTTTTTTCCAGGTCCTCCGGTTTCCTCTCACTGTTAAAGTCTGCTACTTGCAAGCCAATTATTAAAATAAAATTGACCAGGCACGGATTCAGAAGCGGGTTCAGGTGGTCCGGACCCCCTCCCCCCCTGCTCAGGCTTGAAAATTTGAAGGTTCTGAGAAACTTAAATCTAAAAGCCTGAATCTGACCCAAATATTGCAAGTTTGTATACATTGAGTTGAGTCATGACTTTCATTCCATTGTGGGCAAAAACAAATAGTCACATACAGCTTTGGCAATTAGCCAAAAACATTGACTTTTCTCTGCATTGCACAGTTAAAGTGATGGTCACACATAATTTTTGGAAAATAAATCTGTTTAATTTTGTATGAAAATTCCCTGTAAACCTCTACATTTATGATTAAGCCTGTGCAACTATTGCAAGCTATATTATTTATTTTTATGCACTGAAAGTAAAAACAGTAAACCAAGTCTATAGACTTTTCGTCTGTGAAAGTTTGTACTCTGGAAAACCCTGACCAACTTTCCTATACTTAAATGGACTGGTTATTCTAATAGTAAATTGATACTGCTAATAAAGCTTGTTAAGAACAACCATAATATGGTATCTGAAGATATTTTGTTCCTCACCTGTGAAGGGAGCACTCAGCATTCCCCATCAACATTTTAAGGACATTTTATGCGATTTTATTGGCGAATTTTAGACCTGTAATTTTCCTTCCGGAAATATGTCAGAATGCACCAAATTGAATCTAATTTACCAAATTTTTGGGGGGGAGGGCCCCCAGATACAACATTTAGCGCAGCCCACCGAATTAGTTAAAGATACATTATGGGAGATAAGATAAAGCGATGGCATATCTCGCTATAATAGTTAAAAACAAGATAGTGTAAAGGTAATTTGCTGAAAATTTCAGTCAAATTGATCCACTATGAGCCGAGAAAGAAGCGGGTGAAATTTTTGCATAGTCTCAGTCATCATTACTAAAATCATTAATATAAACAGCATAGTCTCGATTATCCACTTTTTTTTTATTTAATTATCAATGGCCGTTAGCGGCATATAGGAATCTAATCCAGCCACATCGAAGGCTAGCCTTGACATCGAGAGTTTATTATGGTCTGGATAAGTTAATTAATGTCTAATTGATAATTTAGATAACATTTCAGGCCTAAAGAAAGACTTGTAATAAGCAGATTTTGCTCTTGCATAATGCATGTTTAAGCAATTATCCAACCTAGATCCCCCCCTGCAAAAAATCCTGGATCTGTGTCTGATGACCCATATGTTAGTCCCCAAATGACCTAGTTTGTGTCAGTGGACGTTAAACCCTATTTCTCTCTCTCCCCTAAATCAAAAAGGTTTTTAATCATAAGGAACTGGACAGGTGGACATGCTGGAAAAATAATGAATTATTAAAGGCTCAATACCACTCTTGTTGTAACTGAATAATATGTCCCAATCTTTATTCTGGTCAACAAATTGTAGTATTTTAGAATATTTCAATTAATTGATGATACAAATTTCATCTTAACACACCTTATTTAAAAATTTTGAAAAATTCAACATAATGGTTTGAAACGTCTAACGTAAACCTTTTCAAATGAAACTTCGATTTAAAAATATTTTCGAACCCTGGACAAGTAAAATAGGATGTAATGGATAATTTACACAACAGGTAGGACACTTAAACATCTAGTGCTTAGATACAGATGTTATTTATTTTCTGGAGCTTTCAAGCCAGCAAGAGTGTTATTTTCCTTTTAAAGTAAAATAATCATATCCTCTTACCTCAAAATTCCACTGCAAATATTTTCAGTTTAGGACTAAATGAAATGCCTATTTTCAGCTTCCTCATTCGTATGAATATTTTTTCTAATTTGACTCTCCTATTTCTAGGAAAAGCTAACTTTATTTACTTAACTTACAGGAAAAATGTTATCTCATTCCAAAGAATGGGCGATTCTCCGAGAATCATAATTAAGAACTATCATCAGCTCAGTCTCGTTCCAACGACGTTTATTTCAACGTTGACAGATGCAAAGAAAATGTCATGTCATATAGGCAGCCGCTCTGGAATGATTTTACATAATCAATTTGAATGGATGACATGTCATTTACCAATCTTGAAGGAAAACCAGGAAGAAAGTTATTTTTGGCTACATGTCAAATTCATTGCAACCATTTCTGGAAATGAATCGCCTCATAATATTATTATCTTTTGTATTCAAAATCACGAGCTCGCTTCATGTTTATGTAACGATTATATCATATGATACACCACGTGACTTTAAACTTTATTATTTTTCAAACATTAAAGAGGTGTGCTAGGGGAGTTAATCTCATTAATCTCATGGAAGCAGACCATGAAATATTTATTAACTAAATTCTTGTCTTTTTTTTCCGACATATACATTTCTCAAAATTTGGTTTGTTAAACGTTGGAATTCTTATGCATTTTTAAATATCAAACATCTCTACTAGTTTTATCATCTTTGGGAGATAAACGCGATCCAAGACCATGTGCATTAACCCTCCCAAAATTTCCCTCACATCAATCTGACTTTAGCTCATGATATCTTAATTTTTTTTTTCAACTTGAGTGTTTTGTTTTTTTCTACCCCATGTGATGTACTGCTAACAGACAGGAAACCACACTGAAAATCTCGAGGTACTTTCTCGTTCATCAGCAAACACCAGCAATTACTTGGTTAGGTCTAAATATTAAGGCCAACTGCAGATTTCGCCAAGGTCGCGTCTTGCGAGATGTAAATAGGATTAATTAGAGCACGTGATTGTTAACGAGATTGCGGGTTAGGGCTAGGGCTGGCGCTAACCCTGTTTACATCACGTGATCTTTAACCACATCTGCAGTTGTCCTTACTGTTTAGACCTAACCTTATTAATTACTCACAGATCGAGCCACAGTATGGTTATCAAGTGCTATAAATATAGGCCTAACTAAAAATGGACACTTGATGAACACTACATTTATACATAGAACTGTTTACCCCACTTTCCCCGATTTCACGAAACAAGCTTTAACCAGGTTTTGATGAATATTCATAATTTCAAGGAGAAAAGATCCAGGTGTGAACAGATTTTTGATATATTCCCCAGTACGGCAAAATAAATTAAAGTGACAAGTTGGTTCGCCGGTGATATTACGCAGGCCTATATAATAGACTATACTAAAACTCATATAAGCCAAGCATCAAATTCAATAAACATTAACAAGCGATGGGGTGGGGACCATCTCATACAGGGTTTGTCCTAAATGATAAGGCCAGTTCAGTTTTTCGTCATAGGTCAGGAGATGTAAACAGGGGTAAAGTAGCGCTAATTCCAACCCTAAAACTAACCCTGGACCTAGACACAATGCTTACCCTAACCCTAACCTACAATCTTGCCAACAATCACGTGCCCTAACCTTATTTACATCTCAGCGACCTTGACAAAAATTGAGCTAGCCTTACAAATAGATTTAGCCACTCATACAGGGAACACTTACCACAACAGGCCATTTGCACTTCTAAATGACAAGTTGTTTAGTAAATATTTGGGTATTGTTTGTTGCGTTTAAATTAGTTACAGTGCCCTAGACAACTAGAGTAGATTTAGAGGCGGGGGTGGGGGCGTTTTTCAGAATGGGATTTTGCCCGGGTAGTGACATACTTAGGTTTTGAGAAAGGCAGCGGTTGGGACGAATAAAATCAACAAGACATCTGCCCACGCCTACAGTGGTTATATAAAATAAACCCATTTTCTACTTCTTTATTCGAATCTCAAAATTGATTTGGTTATTGACCCAACTTCTGAAGTCCCAGCAATCAGCGTAAACTCCTGGTTTACCAGGTCGGGCACATCCATAGCCAAAACTTATAACACCTAAAATATCAGAATAAAATATATTTAAAACATATCTGTATTCCCACCTAAATATGTTTAAAACATATCTATATTCCCACCTAAATATGTTTAAAACATATCAATATATACTCAGCTTATAACACCCAAAAATATTAAAATAAAATATGTTTAAAACATGTCTATATACCCAGCAACACTTAAAATATTAGAATAAAATATGTTTAAAACATATCTATATTCCCACCTAAAATAGTAAAATAAAAAATGTTTAAAACATATATATATATCCATGCAGCTTATAACCCTAAAATATTAGAATAAAATATGGTTAAAACGTATCAATATACTCTGCTTACAGCATCTAAAATATAAGAATAAAATATGTTTAAAACATATGTATATACTCTGCTTACAGCACCTAAAATAACATATGTTTAAAACATATCTATATATACTCTGCTTAAAACACCTACAATATTAGAATAAAATATTAAAATAAAGTATTTTAAAACATATCTATATACACAGCTTACAATACCTAGAAAATTAGAATAAAATATGATTAAAACATGCAGTAGAACTTGTATTAAGCAAGCACACAAGGGAAATTTAAAAATGCTTGCTTAATGGATGTGCTCTTTGACTAGAGGTATCCAATATTGCCCCAACCCCTACCACAAAAAATAAAGATATAGATTGCATATATTTTTTTATTCATGTAGTATAACAATACATGTACTTTTTATCTAGTTGTGAATCAAAGTAGTCGCGTATACCTGTTTGTTTAGTAATACTGGATCTCTGCCCCCCCCCCCAATATTTCTTTTACTTTCATCATACTGAATCAACATAGCGTCTAAAAGCGTTTCAAAATGCCGTGAATTTGAGTATTTCCCACCCCAACTATTTTAGCGATTACGCCCGAGCAAGTTCTACTGTATCTATATTCCCAGCTTACAACCCCTAAAATATTAGAATACAAAAAGCTTTAAAACATATCTATATTCTCAGCTAAAAGTTTATAACACCATAAAATATTAAAATAAAATATGTTAAAACATATCTATATACCCAGTTTATAACCTCTAAAATATTAGAAAGAAATATGATTAAAACATATCTATACACCCAGTTTATAACCTCTAAAATATTAGAATAAAATATGATTAAAACATATCTATATACACAGCTTACAACACCTAAAATATTAGTATAAAATATAATTAAAACGTGTCTATATTCAGCTTACAAAACCTAAAATATTAGAATAAAAAAAAGCTTTAAATCATATCTATATTCTCAGCTTATAGTTTATAACACCTTAAATATTAAAATAAAATAAAATGTTTAAAACATATACTTATAAATATTAAACAGTGTTTGTTTTTCAATTTGGTGTGAATTCTGTATCACTATGACAGGCCCGGGACTATACAACGCAGGGACGCTTACGGCTAGCCCCCGGGTCCATTCACTTAATCTGATATGTATATTTGTTTGTCATTTCTGCGTATTGTGTCTTGTCCGTAGATTTGTTTTGTGTAATTTTGCATGACGCAGTCCCCCTGTACTTACTATTAAATATTAGAATAGTAAAATAACATACATATATAACTCTGTTCATAAGAAAACAGAGAATATTCTGAGTTGTTGTTGTTCTTAGTGTTTTACGTCCACTTCCACCGAAGGTAATATCGCAGACAAGTCTTATTTTTTAAAAATTATTATCTTAGCGCATGCGCACGCACAGGGGTCTTTCCTTTGGAAGGAAACCAGCGTACCCGGAGTAAACCCATGAGGTTGAGAAGGCGCCCCAATCTCCAAACCACTAAGCTACCCCGACAGGCCCAGGCTGCACCCTAGTACCATTTTCTTTAAATATGGTTGTTTGCTGAACACTCGGCTCAGGCTGAGGATCTATGGTCAACATTATAGTCGGGTCACAGCCCCCAGATCCATGACCATGTCTCGGGGAACAAGGTTTGACGATGGTTTCTGATAGAAGGGACCCCAGTGAAGATATTCGTAGTTTGCTACCTCTGGAATCTATGGGCTAACTCCAGGAGAGCCGAATATCCAAGATGACGGCCACAAATGGTCTGAAATTGGCCTTGGCAAACATTTTTGGCGAAATGACCCGTGTAATATATTATTTTATTGGTTTTGTTGGTCACCGGACCCATTTCAGTTTCGATTCCCCGGTTGTACGTGACAAGGAGTAGTGTCGCATGTTCAACATCCTGGGTTTTCTCCGGGTCCTCCGGTTTTCTCCCACTGCGAATTATTGAAATAAAATTGACCCATACGCCCTCTAATTTAAAATTAATTTGTATCTTCGACATTTGGTTTGACTGTAACCCTCTTGCATAATATCGAAATGAGAGAGAGAGAGAGAGAGAGAGAAATGGGGTTTAATGTCAACTAATATCGAAATGAGGTGGGGTTTAACGTCCTACTGGGCCAATAAAGACGGGCATACGTCAAACAGTGTGCTATCGGGGGGGGGGGGGGTGCCCGTACAGCGTCGCTATGGCCCACTTTTATATCGAATTCCAACTGTCAAGGGTTCTTTTACGTGCACGCCTATATGTACGCGGGACCGCGGTCTTTGTGTCATACGAACGACTAATTGATTAATTTCACCCAATAACGCCCCTTGCTGTAAACGAACGCCGTATTAATTAATCTAAGAAATATTGCTTTTTGAAAACACTAATAGATAACCATAATATAGCATGGGCTTTTTTTCTTTTATGCATAAAATGAAATGAAATGAAATGGGGTTTAACGTCCTACTGTTTTGCTCCGGACTGGGCTAATGAAGACGGGCATACACCATACACCATACAGTGTGCTATGAGGGAAATTTTGCCCGGACAGCGGCACTACGGCCTACTCTTATATCGAATTCCAACTGTCAAGGGATCTTTTACGTGCACGCCAATGTGTACAGGGGACCTCGTTTTTTCCTCTCATCCGAATGACTAGACAGCTGTCCTTGTCAGGCCCTCCGTCCTGCAACACTGACAAGGGGGAACCACGCCGGAAAATCTGGATGAACTTTCTCGGCCAATGCAGGGATCGAACACCCGACCTCCAGGCTAGCGAGCCAGCGCCTTACCCACTTAGGCACCGTGATCCCCTTTATGTATAATTCAAAGATTGGACAAATTAAGTTGATAAATTATACGAGGAGACATTAATTTTAATTTTGAAAATAATCTGTTTTCCCCTGTGAAATATCAGGGGGAACAAAAAGCAAAACAAAAAACAAAAGAAAAGAAAAGAAAAAAAAATTAAACCCCCGGTTTCTTTCTCAAAATCTGATCCATTTTTCTTAATTCTAAGGAGAGATTTTTTTTATCATAGTTTACAAATATAAAACAAATGTACAAAATATATTTATAATCCATAAAATACAGATGTGACGTCATCCATTGGTGTTGGCGTAGCATTATTACAAATAATGGTACGGACAATGTGCCAAGCGTACATTATTTATACTAGTTGAAATTTTGGACCCCGTGGCGTATTTCATTGCAAAGCACGCGCGAGTGTCTGTATTTTAAGCTGTTTTATGGTCTCGAGCTTAAAGTAGCTAAGTCTCTAACTCATTATCATCCAAAATCTTCAACATTGAAAACGCGATTTATTTGTCAAATTAAATCAACATTCATGTTGTGATCTTACCGGAAAAAGATGGGCTTTTGATATCCAATATTTAAGACAAAATAAACATTTTACCATTGGTACACGAATCGTGTACCATAATGCGCTTCAGCCCCAGTTGTATCAAGAGACTCGAGGGACGAGGCTAGACACATTGCACTAAATCAAACGGCGTATGTAGACTGGAATAACCAGACGCTAGAAATTTGCACCCGCTTGAGACTACTGGCTTATTTCGCCGAACATAACTGATTTGAAATTGGAGTAAAAACGGAAACCATTGAATGTAAATCAGTTTATATACATTCATACTACAGTATTATATGCGTTGCGACTCACTTTTGTCAATTTCTACGTCCCAAATGTTAGCGATTTACCTCCTTTAAGACATTGCGTAATATATTGTTTCAATATAATATTACTTGATGTCTCGCTGTCGACAATTAAACCGCACATAAGATAAGAAAATATGGTAACTTACACGTTTTGTTCTTACAAATATCCCGTCTATTGGTGATATTAATTACTTGAGGGAGGCTAATCTAAATTTATCGTTGTTTTTTATATGACGCTTGGCTAAATCTATTTGTTACGGCCAGCTCAATTTTTGTCAAGGTCGCTGAGATGTAAATAAGTTAAGGACACGTGATTGTTGGCAAGATTGTAGGTTAGAGTTAGGGTAAGTATTGGGGCTAGGTCCAGGGTTTAAGAATTGGGATTAGCGTTAGCCCTGTTTACATCCCGTGACCTATGAAGAAAAATTGAGCTGGCCTTATCATTTAGCACTAACCACGAAGAATAGACACCTAATGATTGATAGCTTTTTGATTGATAGATTGATGATTCCTCCTATCAAATTTCCTCTGACGTCATAAAAATATATAATTTTAAACTGTTTAGTAAATAAATAATGTTATCTAATCAATCCCAAGCATGACTTGATTAAATCTATCCAACCAATTGATAGATTTACAAATTAATTAATGAACAAAAAAAAAACGTAACGGAAATCAAACTAATTAAGTAAGTTGCATGAAGCGTTTTTGTTTCACGTGCCATTTTGATGAGATATATTTTTTTTATTATTATTATTTAAAAATTGTTTTTAGCATTATTGCTATTTTATTAATAGATTTTTTCCAAAATAAACACTTCATATTATGTCATTAAAACGGTTAGTAATTTTGGATAAATATTTTTTTAAACATTTATAATTGATTATGATTATTATTAGTTTTTTTTTTATTCAAAGCCGTTTTTAATTTAGAGGCATTATGGGAGATCAGATAAAGAGTTGACAATCTTGCTATACTAGTTAAAAAGTAGATAACGTAAATAGAATATGCTGAAAATTTCAGTCAAATTGCTACACTTTGAACCGAGATAGCTTTTGAATTTTAGGCCAGCTTCGATCATCTTTACTTAAGTCGGTACGATAAAAAACAGTCTCGATTATCCACTTTTACATTTAATCACGGACCTTATGTATTATAAGATCCGTGGTTTTAGTGGTAGGAGGATAAATAATTTTTTTTTAAATTCCTCAAACAAATGTATTTTCCATATGTCGCCGGGCATTTCTTTCAAAATGGCTGCCGTATTTGGTAATATAAAGCCATTTAAGGGTGTACAAAAGATAATTATTTAGGCACATATTATATCTTAAAAAACATATCCTTTCTTTTCGGAAAAAAACCCCAATGTGAACAGCTCTCAACACCCTTGTGTTATGTTATCTCTTCTGAATGAATAGTGTGCGAAAAAGGCGAAAGGGAAAGGAAATGAAATGAAATGGGGTTTAACGTCCTACTGTTCTGCTCTGAACCTGGATAATGAAGACAGGCATCCGAATGACTAGACAGCTGTCCTTGTCAGGCCCTCCGCCCTGCATCATGACAAGGGGAAACACGCCAGAAATCTGGACGAACTTTCTCGGCCAATGAAGGGATCGAACACCCGACCCCCAGGCTAGCGCACGAGCGCCTCACCGCTTAGCATCCGTGGCCCCCGAAAGAGAACGGAGGATTAAAGCTAGCGAAATACGAATAAGGTGCCAAGACATTTATTCCAAATACTCGTTCGAATCTATTATTACTTGGATGGTAGACGTTTATAAGTCGACAAAATCATCGACTTGCCGTGTCGAGAATATAGAATGGCCGCTCCACCATAATGAAGATCTATTCAGAAAACATGTCAAAACTGTTGTTTTTTTTTTGTTTTTTTTTATATTAAAGATCAAAATCTTCAAAATTAAGATTATTCCACTGATTGGTTTTATGTAACAAACCAAATCGCGCTACGTGGATACAGAGGAGATCTGTCACAGCTGCCTCACTGGCAATTTCTTTTCCTTTTTAGGGTGGGGTGTCTTTCAGATATTATTAAAGACAAATTATGTAAGATTTAGATAAAGAGCTGACCATTCTTGCTATAATAGCTAAAAGAAAAATAGACAATGTAAAAATGAAAATATTGAAAATTTCACTCAATTTTCTTCTTTCTGAGCCAAGTTATCATTATAGTTTTGAATAGATGTGTGCACAGTGGTAACCACGGCAATGGCATATTCGAGACTTAGCCTAGCTTTCCCATTTCTAAATTAAATTTTTAAATGACGAACCGTTCTAATCTAATTAAAATCTCGAGTAGCCGATGTCATCGAGAGTTGATTATGGCCTGGATAAGTTAATAATACAACATTTCAGGCCTAAAGAAAGACCCGCAATAGGCAGATTTAGCTCTTGGATAATGCCTGTTTAATAGCCGAAATGATATACTTGCAATATTGCTATTGTTTAGTTAGCTTTCGGCTTTAGGGGTTCTCATAATACTACACGTTGCCACGTTTATAATTGAGACTCGAGGCGTGTCCCGACCAGTTGAACAAACTAAAATATAACTATTATTTTTTCACATCGCTTCGCCCACCTGGTCCACAGGCACTTGAAGGGATTAAAATAAAATTTCTTACTATTTTAATCCCTTCACGTGCCTGTGACCTGGTCCCTGTTTCACGAAATTTTAACTAAAGATAAAATCCAAATTTGAGTAGATACTTGAATTTTGATTGGCTAAGCACTAAAATCAATCTAATGTTATCCAATCAAATTACTAAAATTTGGATTTTATCTTAGTTAAATTTCGTGAAACAGGCCCCTGGTCATTGTTTGGAAACAATAGATGTGCAATTTTTGTACAACTGAGTGTCAATTATATAAACTGTCATAAGGTACATTGGGCATAATATATAAAAACGTAATAAAATTATTTGCTTTACCCAGCTTCAAATAGCTAGAAGAAATTTATTTTGTTCGTTCTGGACGACTATCTTTCGTTTCTTGCCTGTTTTTTTTAGTTATTTCTCGGAAAAATCACGTTAAAAAGGTCCACAAATATGTTTTCCTTGATTCGCTTCATGGATAATTTATGGATAATTGAAATTTTAACAAGCCATGTAAAATCTGCACAAAAACATCCGATTTTTAAAGGCGTATGCAAGTTAAATATGTTCAATAGCGCTTTTATCTGGTGTATCTTTCATTTTTGATTGTTCTTACAGCTTAAGGCTAAATAACAATTAAGTGCACCTTTTGTTGTATAGTAATAATAATAATAAAAAATATTAAGATTAATTTTAAAAACATAGATATGGCTCATGACGAGAGAAATTTTACAATAAAAAAAAAAAATAAGAGTGTTGGATATTGAACTGGCATGCAATCACATGGAATTTTTGAAATGGCATTCTTGAATTAATTTCATGGGCGTCAACCACTTTGTTTAAGGACTAGTTACCTCCCTTAGACCTTGTTTATGATAATGTAAAAGACCGGATAATCTAGCCAAATGACCTATTATTCTCAAATGTTGACGACGCACCCAGTCTAATATTCGCAGAATATTTTTCTGAATGATAGATACGAAATATGGCTTTGCTCCAGGCTAGCGAGCCAGCGCCTTACCCACTTTGCCACCATGGCCCCACTTAATGTAGTGTATTAGAAATGAAATTATAATAATAGGATGTTTGGGACCCGTTTACAATCCAGGGGCCTGTTTCACAAAATTTTAACTAAGATAAAATCCAAATTTTAGTAATTTGATTGGATAATATTAGACAGATTTTAGTGCTTAGCCAATCAAAATTGAAGTATCTGCTAAAATTTTGATTTTATCTTTAGTTAAGATTTCGTGAAACAGGCCCCAGAACAACTGAGTAGACACAGCGAAGCTTACCGACAAGTTCCCAGACATTGTTTCGTTGACAGAAGAATGGTCCACCACTATCATTCTGTAAATTAAAACAAGTTAAAATTCTAAAACAATTTTCTCACTTCATAATTAATTCGGTTTCTGCTCATTTTAAAGGTGCTAAATCTGCCGATTGAAGATATTTCTTGTAACCTCGAATGTTATATAAATTATCAATTATACAATTATTTCCAAGGCAATCCCATAATCAACTCTCTAGATTATCGAATTGTTGTGATTTTTAATGGATTTAAACATGGTCGCCATTTAATAATTTAATTTAAAAATAGACAATCGAGACTTTGTTTATTATCGTAACAACGGTAGCATTGAAAATCGAGACCAAGCTATCCTTCAAACATCCATAACTCCGCTCAGAATAAAGTAATCTGACTGATATTTTCAACATATTTCATTATCTATTTTCAAACTATACTATTCAAAAAAAGTAGGGGATATTTGATTTTGGGGGCATAATACTAAAATATGCAAATGACTACGAAAAAAGTCACTATAGAACCTAACAGAAGAAACATTTCCAGTTACATGTGACGCCCAAACGCACCAATAGCTACCGCATGGAATGCAGGTGATGCTTGGGATCATCATGGGGGTCCAACCCAAGATTTGCACGACTCTGACTTTGAATGTTACAGTCATTGTGGCATTGAATTCCAGGGTGGAAACATCAGTTTAATTGTTTTAGTGACCAGAAAACAAATTTTGATATGCGTCGGCTTACCCAAAATGAAAGGTTACGTGCCCTTGGCATGCTACAGATCGGCACAACACAGGCGGTTGTGGCGCGGACGATGAATGTTTCTCAGTCTGTCATAAGCAGGCTATGGTCCAGATACCGTGATACACAATCTGTACAGGACAGACCACGCTCAGGTCGACCAAGGGCGACAACTCAAGCCCAGGATCGATTTATCCGTACCTTGGCCTTGAGAAATCGTGTCATCACAGCAAATCAGATCAGCGCTCGTCTTCAAACAGACACTGGTGTGAGAGTGAGTGGCCAGACGATTCGGAATCGACTGCATAGGGGTCACCTTCGCGCCCGACGTCCTCGCGTGATCCCTTGTTTGAGAGATCATCACATTCAGGCAAGACGTCGTTGGTGTAGGGATCGTCAACACTGGGATAATCGACGCTGGGGCAATGTGATGTTTTCAGATGAGTCAAGGTTCACTGTTGATTTTTTGGACAGACGTAGGAGGGTGTGGCGTCGTCGAAACGAGCGCTTCCAAGACGTTAACGTCATCAGACATGATCGATTTGGGGGTGGTTCTGTTATGGTGTGGGGAGGCATCACTGTTGCTGGAAGAACGGCTTTACATGTTGTTGCAGGGCGTGTTACAGGCCAGTACTACCGGGACAACATCTTGGCAGTCCATGTTGTGCCGTTCGCACGACGTCATGGCCGCCGTTTCATCTTCCAGGATGAAAACGCAAGATGTCACAGGGCCAGGATCGTTACAGGTTACCTCCAACAACAGAACATCACCACATTACCTTGGCCAGCACTGAGTCCCGACCTCTCCCCCATCGAGCATGTCTGGGACATGCTTGGACAGAGGTTACGTCAACGTCAACAACGTCCTGCCAATGTCCAAGAACTTGCTGCTGCGTTGCAACAGGAATGGGACAATCTGGACCAAAATGACCTTAGACGTCTCATTAGGAGTATGCCACGTCGGATCAATGCTTGTTTGGCAAACAGAGGAGGATTTACCCGTTACTGACTTGGTTGTGATGCTGTGGTAACTTTGCTGTTTGACCCCGGGTATCATTTTACCCTTATAATGGTCAGTCTGTGCCTTACTTAGTCTAACGATCATTTGGAATAAATCGATGAATGTGAACTTCATTTCATTTTGTCATTTGTTTATTCGTCAGTTTCATTAGGTGACTTTAATAACACTTAAAAATCAAATATCCCCTACTTTTTTTGAATAGTATATTATAGCGAGAACTGTCAGCTCTTTATCTAATCTTCCATAATGCGTGTTTAATCATAGTCAAATTGGAAACCGGGTTCTGATTTTTAACTTTAAGACTATAAACTAAGACTTTGAACTCCAAAATGAAATGTCTTAACATTGACATTTCAAAATCATTAGATTATGGCTCGTTGCAATCTGATTAAAACACAGATCCTATTTCGTTTCGTTTTTATAGTTCAGAATTCGTTTTATTTGTCTTTCACATTAGGATCTGGAAGAGTTTTTATCATTGACGTGCTCTGAATGATGTAAGGGATTAGCCAATGAAATGATCTGTTACGGCGAGTTCTAGGCCTTTTAATGCACGGATCTGTGGGTAAACTACTAGAAACGTCAACGCTGATTGATTAATCAATGTCTGACGTCATAGTGTCAAAAGCCGCTCGTTTGACCACTGACATAAAGTTCCACTATAAGTTGTCTGATCTTCAGGTAGTGTAGGCCATCGAAAGTATAGGTTATTGAACCTAATATATTTACCTGACATGAGTCGATTCCCCCAGCATCGTATCCAGAACACATCATTGAGTCGGCGTAATAGATGTTAGCACCCAGATCAGAAGTACATTTAGCATCAGATAAAATAGGTTTAGAAGCTTCTTGTAAAGTAGTCGACATGTGTCCTGCAATCATTGATATTATCCATTGTTATTAGTATTTTGTGCTGATAATATCTGGGGTGGGGGTGGAGGGTCTAGTGGTTTAACGCGTGCGCGTGAAATCGCAAGATCTGTCACTGCCCCAAGTAGCGTGGTTTTGAATTCTCGCTTGTACGTGATAAGGAGGATGGTCGCCTGTCCAACCTCGTGGGTTTTTTCCAAGTCCTCCGGTTTCCTCCCATTGCAAGCGAATTATTAACATAAAACTAAACCATACGTTAGTCCCGGCATGACATAGTTTGTGTCTAGTGGACGTTAACCCCATTTCTCTCTATGGCTTGTTTCGACCGATCTTTGAAAACTCTTGTTCAGCCAGTTAGAAAACACGTTTCCGTACGATAAATTCAACCTTACCTCCTTCGCTCAAAAGTCCCCAACCAATTAGGGTACATTGTTCACCAGCGGTGTGATCCTGGTTAGCAAAACAGATTGGTCTGATGTAATCCGATTCTACTATAGTATTCTGGTTCTGTAAGGTGAGAACAGCGATATCGTTCTGGAAGGTATTTCTATTATAGTTATCATTCTTGATGATTTGCTGGACATTGAGGATAATACTGTTATTATCTGAACTGCTGTCCTCCCGGAAGTGAGCACCGAACTTTACAGACAGGCTATTGACTATTCTTAAATCATCGCTGGAAGGAAGTAAGATTTCTTAAAATACTGATTTATTGAACACATGAAATTAAGCACAAGAGTTCTATGAAAAACGGGGTCACGGTGGGTAAGTGGGTAAGACGCTGGCTCGCTAGCCTGGAGGTCGGGTGTTCGATCCTTGCATTTTCCGAGAAAGTTCATTCAGATTTTCCGGAGCCCCCCCCCCCCCCCGTCAGTGAAGCAGGGCCTGACAAGAACAGTTGTCTAGTCGTTCGGATTGGACAGAAAACCGAAGTAAAAGATCCCTTGACAGTTGGAATTCGATATATGAGTAGGCCGTAGTGCCACTGTCCGGGCAAAATGTCCCTCTTCATTAACCCAGTTTGGAGAAGAACAGTAGGACGTTAAACCCCATTTTATTTCATTTCTATGAAAAACATTGGGGTTCGATGATCGAATGGTTAGTACGTGCGCGCTGTATCAGAAGGTCTGTCATTGAGTCACCTTGCGTGGTTTCGATTCCCCAGTTGTACGTGACATGGGTTTTCTCCGGATCCCCCGGTTTCCTCCCACTGCTAAAGACCCCTACGCGCAAACGAATTATTGAAATAAAATTGAACCATATGTTAGTCCCTTAATGACATGGTTTGTGTCAAGTGGACGTTCAACCCTATTTCTCCCACTGCTAAAGACCCCTACGCGCAAGCGAATTATTGAAATAAAATTGAACCATATGTTAGTCTCTAAATGACATAGTTTGTGTCGAGTGGGCGTTAACCCCATTTCTCTCTCACTCTCTATGGAAAACAATTAATATATTTTTAATCGGAGCTTCAATTCTACATTGATTCTCTTGTCGGCTTCAAGCACAATCATTTTAGAAACGTAGCTCCAATTAAAAATACAGGAATGGTTTTCCAAAGAAATCTTGTATTTAATTTAACATTTCTTAAAGTTCATACAAGCAATAAATTTTTAGAAATTATAGAAAAAATGCTCAACAATAATGTAACCATAGATTTGAAAACACAGGAACGAAGAACCAAACAAAACAAATTTTAAAACAAGAGGTTTAAAGGAACATTATTACTCTTTTACAGGGTAACCCCCTAAAAACAACCCATAAAATTTGTATTAAATCCTACAATGATCCAGCAAATTTGCTGAATTTGCTGAACTTAAACATCAGTCTGTGTACGATCATTTCCCAAAGTTTCAGTTATCTTGGTGGATTTGCAAAAAAGTTATGTTTTTTCCAAAATATACTCCGAGTGGCATCCGCGGTATTGGAGGCAAATTTGCATACGTCGCGCAAAATTATCAATTACTTGCACACATTCCTCTTTGGGGATCCCTGATGTTTTGCCGTGATTGCTGCCTGCAATTCACCAATCGTTTGAGGGTTGTTCTGATACATATAATCAGGGATATTCCCAAAGAGGACCTTTGTGGGATTTCATAAACATTTTATGGATTCTGTTTTTTTGGGGTCACCCAATAGATTCATTGTCTTGTTGTCGATAACCCAAAGCACTAAGAAACAAAGATCATGGCATTATAGACGAGAGTGCTAAACTCAAAGCTTAAAGGTGTACATCACAACCGGGTCGTTTCAGATTTTTCATACCATCAAATTTGCACCCCCTCCCCTCGCCCTTTATGGGGTTTAACTTCCTACTTTTATGTGCCGATTAGGCTAAGGAAGGCGGATACGTGCCATGCAGTGTGCTATGAGCGAAATTGTTGTCTCAACTGCGGCACTACGGCATACTCTTGTATCGGATTCCAACTGTGAACGGTTCTTTATGTTCACGTCGATGGACCTTGATTTTTCGCTGCCACCAGAACGACCATACGTTATTCCTTGCCACACCCACTGACAAAGGGGAACTAAGTAGAAAAATCCATTTGAACTTTCTCGGCCAACACCGGGATCGAACACAGGACCTCCAGATTAGTGAGCCGACGTCTTACTCCCTGAGCCACCGCGGTCTCCAGTGAGCCACTTATAAAGTAATAAATAAAGCTAACATACAGTGAACCAAAATAATAAAGTAATAAGTAAAACCTAGGCTACACACCATGAGTAATAAAGTAATAAGTAAAACCTAGGCTACACACCATGAGTAATAACGTAATAAGTAAAATTTACACACAATGAGTCACAGTGATAAAGGAAAAAGTAAAACTTACACACAGTGCGCCGCTGTAATAAAGTAGTTCAACTTACACACAGTGAGCCGCAGTAATAAAGTAATTCAACTCACGCACAGTGCGCCGCTGTAATAAAGTAGTAAAACTTACACACAGTGAGCCGCAGTAATAAAGTAATTCAACTCACGCACAGTGCGCCTGCGCCGCTGTAATAAAGTAATTCAACTTACACAGACAGTGAGCCGCTGTAATAAAGTAGTAAAACTTACACACAGTGAGCCGCAGTAATAAAGTAATACACCCCAGCTATACTTTTAACCAATGATCCACCACAAATATGGCTTCCGGAGCTTCTTAAGCTTCCCTGAAATAGATATCAATACAACATAAGTCGGGTCTCTTTCTATGATTTTAAGAGCCAAACTTCTATTATTTGGGGGGCGGGGGGTGGGGGTGGATGGCCGAACGGTTAGCACGTGCGTGCTGCAACATAAGGCCTGTCATTGAGTCAACTGGCGTGGTTTCGAATCCCCGGTTGTATGTGACAAGGAGTAGGGTCGCCTGTCCAGCCTCGTGGGCTTTCTCCTCCTATTTCCTCCCTGCTAAAGATCCCTATTAAAATAAAATTGAATCATATATTAGTCCCGAAATATATTAGTCCCGAAATATATTAGTCTCTCTCTCTCTCTCTCTCTCTCTTCTATGGAACCATAACAATTGAAGAAAATAATAATATAAAATGAAAGTACATAAATAGATTTACATTTCTTTATTTTTTTCGTTTGCGCCTGGTTAGTCCAGTCTACACTGTGAGTACGGATTCCCTTCTGCACTGACATGTTGTATTTGTTTTACCTCATTCATAAAGAGAGAGAGAGAAATGGGGTTTAACGTCCACTCGACACAAACTAGGTCATTTCGGGACTAACACGTGGTTCAATTTTATTTCAATAATTCGCCTGTGCGTAGGGGTCTTTAGCAGTGGGAGGAAACCGGAGGACCAAGAGAAAACCCACGAGGCTGGACAGGCGACCCTACTCCTTGCCACGTACAACCGGGGAATCGAAACCCCGCCAGTTGACTCAATGACAGACCGTATGATAAAGCGCGCGCTTGCTAACCATTCGCCATCCACCCCCCCCCCCCCCATTCATAAAGGGCTAGATCTGTTTCTTAAGGCTTCAATGGTTGGGTGTTAGACATTATGTTCAGACATCTGTACCATGGGGGCCACGGTGGCTAAGTGGGTAAGTAAGACGCTGGCTCGCTAGCCTGAGGTCTTCGATCCCAGCATTGTCCGAGAAATTGTCATTTGGATTGGAAGGAAAACCGAGTTCCTGTGTACACATTGGCGTACACGTAAATGATTCCTTGACAGTTGGAATTCAATATAAGAGTAGGCCGTAGGCCCGATAGCACACTGTATGGCGTATTCCCGTGTTCATTAGGACAGGTCGGAGCAGAACAGTAGAACGTTAAACTTCATTTCATTTCATTTAATCTGTACGTTAACTTATTTCGTTATTTCCTCGAGTTTTACGTCCGCTTCCACCAATGGTGATATCGCAGACAACACGTTAACTTACTATCCACGGCCATTTATATCTGGGATTAACTTCAGCGCCGCCTACAATAAAACGACTCGGTGAGCGATCATTAGCCACGCCACATCCCGGGGCTGTAATCAGGGGGTATGGTTTCGGGGAACACAAAACTGAAATTAAAGAATATATTATTAAATTTAAGAATCTAAACACTACCATTGCACTGACCATGCATAAAAAGGGTAAGCATTTGTAGATTTTAAAAACTTGGGACCGTCTACAAAAAGACGGTTCAGTGTGTGTTCAATTAGGACAGAATTAAAATTAAAATATAATTTAAATTTTAGAACATGATTAATATTTCCGAAAACGATTAAAATTAAAATATGATTAAAATTAAAATATAATTAAAATTTTAGAACATGATTAATATTTCCGAATACGATTAAAATTAAAATATAATTTAAATTTTAGAACAAGATTAATATTTCCGAAAACGATTAAAATTAAAATATAATTTAAATTTTAGAACAAGATTAATATTTCCGAAAACGATTAAAATTAAAATATGATTAAAATTAAAATATAATTAAAATTTTAGAACATGATTAATATTTCCGAATACGATTAAAATTAAAATATGATTAAAATTAAAATATA